CATACACACAGACACAAGGTTACTATACACAAGCTCACTGGAACACAAGGTTACTACACATAAGCTCAGTGACAAACACAGACACACACACAGTGGCGTACACACCGGGGTCACAGGGGTCGCGGCTGCGATCGGGCCCAGGCCTCCAAGGGGCCCGGCCGCCCTACGACCCGGTTGTACACCAGTGTGGCCACATTTTGCCAGCCTCTCCTCCTGGGGAGCCCAGGAGCTGGTCACCTCAAGGCTGGCAGTGGCTTCAGTTTGCCGGCGGCCGGGCGGGCGGGTGCGCACGCGAGGGAGGGAGCACTCTCCCCTTAGTGCTCTCTGCCCAGCTCCCTCGTGCACCGCACTGATGCCGGAGCCAGAATATGACGTCATATTCCGGCTCCGGCATTAGTAAGCAGCGCGAGGGAGCTGGGCAGAGAGCACTCAGGGGAGAGTGCTCCCTCGCGCGCCCGCCCGCCCACCACCCTGGCTGCTGGCAAACTGAAGGGCAGCCCAGGACCCCACTGGACCCCAGGGACAGCAGGACCCCACAGCACTCCCAAAAGGTAGGGAGGCTGGGGGATTAAATAATAAAAAAAAAAAAATATGTGAGTGAATATGTGTATTAGTATGTGTGTGTGTTACTGTGTGTGTGTATCTGTTAATGGGTGTGTTAGTTTGTGTGTGTCAGTGAGTGTGTTACTGTGTGTGTTAGTTTGTGTGTGTCTGTTACTGAGTGTGTTAGTGTGTGTATGTTAGAAAATGTTTGTTTGTCAGTGAGAGTGTCACTGAGTGTGTTTGTGTGTCTGTTATTGAGTGTGTGTCTGCTAGTGAGTGTCAGTGTGTGTGTGTCAGTGAGTGTGTGTTACTGTGTGTGTCTGTTACTGAGTGTGTTAGTGTGTGTCTGTTAGTGTGTGTCTGTTAGTGAGTGTGTGTTTGTCAGTGAGAGTGTATGTTTTGTAAGTGAGTGTGTATGTGTGTCTGTCACTGAGTGTGTGTCTGGTAGTAAATGTGTGTGTCTGTTAGTTAGTGTGTATGCATCTGTTCGTGAGAGTATGTGTGTGTAGTTAAAACCCCTTCAGCACTTACCTTTTTCCAGCGCCGGGCTCCCTTTGCGCTAGGGATCTCTGCGCCCCAATCCGCCTTTCAGCTCCGAATGCGCATGTGCGCATTCAAACCGCCCATAGGAAAGCATTACTCAATGCTTTCCTATGGACGTCCAGCGGAATCGCGGAAGCGCCTCTAGCGGCTGTCAGTGAGACAGCTACTAGAGGCTGGATTAACCCTCAGTGAAACATAGAAGTTTCTCTGAAACTGCTATGTTTTCAGCTGCAGGGTTAAAACTAGAGGGACCTGGCACCCAGGCCACTTCAGTGAGCTGAAGTGATCTGAGTGCCTATAGTGGTCCTTTAAGTGTATCTGCATGCGTAGCGGCACCGGCCCGCGCAGAGTAAGTGTGGGGGGATGAGGGGGGGGTGCACGGATCAATTTTTGCACCGGGGCCCCATGGATCTTGTGTACGCCACTGCACACACACACACACGCACAAGATCACTATACACAAGATCACTGAAAAACATACACACAGATACAAGGTCTCACAGACACACACACACACAAGGTCACTACACAAGCTCACTGTCACACACATGTACAAGCTCAGGCACACAGAGACAAGGTCACTATATGCAAGTTCACTGACACACATACACATGGTTATTACACACAAGCTCACTAACACACAAGGTTACTACACACAAGATCACAGACATACATACACACATACATACATACACACATGTTTACTGACACACATACACACAGACATACATAAACACAAGCTTACTGACACACAAGCTCAAACACACACATACACACAGTCATACATGCTCACTGACAAACAGACATGCATACACACAGACATACATGCATGCATGCATGCTCACTGGTACACATGCACACAGACATACATACACACAAGCTCCCTGACACGCATACACACAGACATACATGCACACATGCTCACTGACACATATACACACAGGCATACATACACACATGCTCACTGACACACATACACACAGACATACATATCCTAGGATACTGCCTCCCCCTGCTAAGCAGCGCTCAGGTGGCCACTGTGTGGCAAGCTATGTCGGTCACAGCTCGAGTACAGCTCGCAAACCCTAAGGTTGGCCCTGCAAAATGCCACAACCTGGGGCCATGGCCCCACCCGCTCCTATGGACAGACCGGTGTACACTTTAATGCTACAAACCTTCGCTACTAGTATTCATTCTTTAAAAGTAGAGTGTTATAATTTTATGGAATGGGGAACACCCATGCTGACTGACTCACACACTCACTCATAATTTGTTACAGCTACTCAAATTCTCCAGAATAAGTTTATTCAATAGTTTCTTATTACAAATTGTCCCATAGGCATGGGTGGGGAAGTATGAAATATCGCTTCAGGTTGGAATACATTGGAAATATTTGTATAATTCTTGGAGGAATACAACTCTGTCAGATTAAAAAAAGTACAGTTTGAAATAAATATTTTGTGTTTCATACATCTGGCTAGATAAAAAGGGAAACCAAATCAGAAGAATTTTAAAGAATCTGATCTGGTGAAATGTGCATATTTATTATTAGATAAGATATGCAAAAATTCTCAAAAAAATAAAAAATAACTAAAAAAATTAAAAAGTTTAATACCTTTACCAACCTTTAAAATCACATTCCGGTCCCTACAAAATCCGTGCTAGAGCAGCATTTCCTACTTATTTAGCATTTGCCGCTCTGCACAATCTTGCATTCTCTAAATGAGTGGGACATTCCATTTCGCATATTTAAAGAACTATTTTGCTACATTGAATTATTACTTCTTTGGTCCCTAATGGGTTGGAGCTTCTCTCAGTGCATTGGTTAATGAATCTGTGAGTAGTTACATAAAAATCAAGCAAACAGATACATATAATCCCAACACATAAAGTATTGAGGAATCACTGAATCACCTGGAGATACAGGTAGCCATAGAAATAATAGCTGTACATAGTTAATATTGAACTTCATACACAGACTAGTATCCTTTCTCCCTTCAGAAAGTACTCAATGTAGGAGTTTATAGTGTGCTCTAGGGATATCAATCATGTAACTAATAGGATATAGCAGATATTAGGTCAAGTTGTCACAGTGTATATACACAATCTTGCTGATTGATAGGGGATCAAATACTTATTTTACTCATTGACACATTTGGCAAATCAATTGATACCTTTTTTGACATGTGTTTTTCTGTATTTATTTTGGTTATTCTGTCTCTCGCTGTTAAAATACACCTGACCTGATTAAAATTATAGACTGATCATTTCTTTGTCCGTGGACAAACGTTCAAAATCAGCAGGGGATCAAATACCTTTTCCCCTCACTGTAGATTCACTATGAAGTTCATTGATGAATGGGACCATGGCAAATTCGGGACTGGAAGTGGTTGTAACAACCCACATTGTAGTTGGTGAGGAACCTTGATAACAGCACATGTCTTACATGTTGTGACGTATTCAATAATCTCTAAGAGAGGGCCACCAAAACTGTCTGGTAATGGCAGAAACGGTTTTACATTTGCCAGGATGACCAGAAGTTACATTGTCATGGAACATGTTCAGTATCTCTGAGCCTGAGCTGCTAGTATGTCATCAAGTAGAGGAGAAGACAAAGAAAGGTTCATAAAAGCAATGATACAATCTGAAGGTACTAAATGATAGCTCTCTTGTTTTTGTTTCTCCTCTGTATCAAACTGTCCAGATAAGGCATCAGTCTTGATATACCTGTACCTGGTCTATACGTAATAATGTAGTTAAACCGTGATAAAAACATCTAGCTTGTCTAGAAGACAGTCTCTTGGACAGGACATTGGGACCCTTCTAATAGATGTCTCCACTCTTTAAGGGCTTGGATTATTGCCAATATTGTAATTATATGTAGAGCACAAAACAGTGTGGCTAAAAAAGGGCGCTTTAAAATCTTTAGTTTATATTTTAGTTTAGCTGCTCTGTGGGTACACTCTGTGGGTACTCAATAGTATCAACTACTTTGGTAGTAATTGTAGAGTACAATGTATCCTTAAAGATTGCAATGATCTCATATAAGAGAAAGGAAAATAGATCGTTCTGGATAGTAAGGGGGTGCCAGAATGGATTTTTGTGGAACAACTATAGTCTAGTTGTTTTTTTTTTGGTTTGACTGGGCAAGGCCCAGTGACAGTGAGAGAGTAGTTTTTGGGTAAGGGGTGCCCTCGAAGGCGCATTAGTCTGGTTGTCTATTTTCTCCTTTCTCTACTCTTTACTGCCTTTACATCACTATATAGTAGTATACTTTATTGGACTACGACTACAGAAGGCATTCACTGTGATTTTGTATATATTTGTGTATTTTATTTAGACTTCTCCTTATAATTATTTTAAACAATTAGAATAAAAGTTAAGTTTTAGCATTTGCTCGTTCTCACTCAGATATGATTTTGGAGATTTATGAATTTTCTTTTCGTTTTGAATTTCAATTTATAGAACCCACAAGGATGCAACGGTTTTTCATGATTCTCTCTCTGGAAAAGTACAGCCTCAACTCCAGATTCAGAGGCATCAACCTCTAGAATAAATAGTTTGCTGGGGTCCATGTGTATTAAGATCGGTTCAGAAGCAAACAGCTTTTTGAGGTGTTCAAAAGCCTCAACAGCCTTTTTAGGCCACACATGGCTTTTCACACCTTTCTGTCAAATTTGTTATTGGGGCTATCGCTGAAGAAAATCCTTTGATGAACCTACGGTAATAGTTGGCAAACCAAAGAAACTTCTGGAAGGCCTTTAACCCATTAGGCAATGTGTGAGGATCCATTTTGAAATCAGGAGCAGAAATAATATACCCCAAGACCTGTACCTCCCAGGGGCGTACCTAGAGCATTTGGCACCCGGGGCGGGTCCTATTTTTGGCACCCCCCCTTGCTCCCCCCCCTCAACTTTAAATATAAAAACAACTAAAAAATGTTTTAATGTATTTAGCACTAAGCAGTGTTTGTGTTTTTGAATGTATGCATGTTTTTGTATGGAGTATATGTGAGTGAATGTAGCGGTGTGTTTGTAGTGTTGGCGTTTGAATGCAAGCATGCATTTGTGTGTTGTGTGGTATTTGAATGCAGTGGTATGGTTATATATAATGGTGGGGTTTGTATGTAGTGTTGACGTTGAAATGCAAGAGTGTATTTGTGTGTAGTGTTGGCGAGATTTTTAGATGTCTGCACATACAGGGAGTGCAGAATTATTAGGCAAATTAGTATTTTGACCACATCATCCTCTTTATGCATGTTGTCTTACTCCAAGCTGTATAGGCTCGAAAGCCTACTACCAATTAAGCATATTAGGTGATGTGCATCTCTGTAATGAGAAGGGGTGTGGTCTAATGACATCAACACCCTATATCAGGTGTGCATAATTATTAGGCAACTTCCTTTCCTTTGGCAAAATGGGTCAAAAGAAGGACTTGACAGGCTCAGAAAAGTCAAAAATAGTGAGATATCTTGCAGAGGGATGCAGCACTCTTAAAATTGCAAAGCTTCTGAAGCGTGATCATCGAACAATCAAGCGTTTCATTCAAAATAGTCAACAGGGTCGCAAGAAGCGTGTGGAAAAACCAAGGCGCAAAATAACTGCCCATGAACTGAGAAAAGTCAAGCGTGCAGCTGCCACGATGCCACTTGCCACCAGTTTGGCCATATTTCAGAGCTGCAACATCACTGGAAGTGCCCAAAAGCACAAGGTGTGCAATACTCAGAGACATGGCCAAGGTAAGAAAGGCTGAAAGACAACCACCACTGAACAAGACACACAAGCTGAAACGTCAAGACTGGGCCAAGAAATATCTCAAGACTGATTTTTCTAAGGTTTTATGGACTGATGAAATGAGAGTGAGTCTTGATGGGCCAGATGGATGGGCCCGTGGCTGGATTGGTAAAGGGCAGAGAGCTCCAGTCCGACTCAGACGCCAGCAAGGTGGAGGTGGAGTACTGGTTTGGGCTGGTATCATCAAAGATGAGCTTGTGGGGCCTTTTCGGGTTGAGGATGGAGTCAAGCTCAACTCCCAGTCCTACTGCCAGTTCCTGGAAGACACCTTCTTCAAGCAGTGGTACAGGAAGAAGTCTGCATCCTTCAAGAAAAACATGATTTTCATGCAGGACAATGCTCCATCACACGCGTCCAAGTACTCCACAGCGTGGCTGGCAAGAAAGGGTATAAAAGAAGAAAATCTAATGACATGGCCTCCTTGTTCACCTGATCTGAACCCCATTGAGAACCTGTGGTCCATCATCAAATGTGAGATTTACAAGGAGGGAAAACAGTACACCTCTCTGAACAGTGTCTGGGAGGCTGTGGTTGCTGCTGCACGCAATGTTGATGGTGAACAGATCAAAACACTGACAGAATCCATGGATGGCAGGCTTTTGAGTGTCCTTGCAAAGAAAGGTGGCTATATTGGTCACTGATTTGCTTTTGTTTTGTTTTTGAATGTCAGAAATGTATATTTGTGAATGTTGAGATGTTATATTGGTTTCACTGGTAATAATAAATAATTGAAATGGGTATATATTTGTTTTTTGTTAAGTTGCCTAATAATTATGCACAGTAATAGTCACCTGCACACACAGATATCCCCCTAACATAGCTAAAACTAAAAACAAACTAAAAACTACTTCCAAAAATATTCAGCTTTGATATTAATGAGTTTTTTGGGTACATTGAGAACATGGTTGTTGTTCAATAATAAAATTAATCCTCAAAAATACAACTTGCCTAATAATTCTGCACTCCCTGTATACACATACACGGACATACACACACAAACACAGTCACACACAGATACACATTGACACACATGCAGACATCGTGGCGACTCTAGGAACAATATATATGTGGGGGCACATAAGATATCACAGTCAAAACAGGAGGGGGAGTCACACACAGTTACAGGCAGACAGTCAAATACGCAGGCAATCCCACAGGCAGACAGTCACACACACAATCACAGACAGTCACACATACACACATCACAGTCACAGACAGTCACACACACATTCACAGGCAGACAGTCACACACACACACAGTAAAACTTCTCACTAGGGGATGGGGTAATATGCTACCATTGGCTGTCTGATGCCAGCATGCTGTGTTCTGCATGCTGGCATCTGACTACACATTTGCATATAATTCACATTAGCCACCCAGATTTCTTGTTGTGGGCTGGCTGACACCTCTTAATTTCAATCTTTGTTTAGCAGATAACTCCTCTATTTGCTATCCTTTGTGGGATTGCCATTTTTAAGGACACCAAATAAGGTGCTATCTGCTAAACAGCACCCTCATTTGGTATCTTTAAATATGGAAATCTCACATACGGGCACCAATTCAGGGAATGATCTACTAAACAGCTAAAGGATTAAAAAAAAAAGCCCTTTTCTTATTTTCAGTTGTTTAGTAGATAGATCCCTTATTTGTTATCTATATGTGGGATTGCAATATTTGAGGACAGGAAATAAGGGAGCTATCTACTAAACACATACGCAGAGATACACACAATCACACACATAATCACAGATATACACAAGCACAATCACTGACCCACACACATACAATCACAGACACACAATCACATACACACACAAACATTACATACATACACACATTTAATAATTAAGAGGTCCACCCAGCCTCCCTACCTTGCTCTAGAAGGGCTGGAGTGGATCCTCAGTCCCTGGTGGTCAGTGGTTGCTGCTGGGATCTCTGTGCTCTTTCTGCACAGGTCCATCGCACGCCCTGAAATGACGCCGAGGCCGCGATGACATCGTATCCTGGCTGCCGGCTCACTGCAGGGCGAAGACCGTCAGACACAGTCAGATGCACACAGTCCCACACACAGTCACACACACACAGTTACAGGCAGATCAAAGACAGTCACACATACACACAACACAGTCACAGACAGTCACACACACAATCACAGGCAGACAGTCACACACACACAGTGACACACACACACACAGAGTAACACAGACAATCACAGGCAGACAGTCACACACACAGACAGTGACACACACAATCACAG